AAAAGTGGGATTCAGCGAGGTAGTGATGACATTAAAATCTTGGAGAAACAATTTCGTTTCTCTTCTGCTGCTTTTTTGGGGACTGGCTGATACAGACACTTACCACTTTAGATAAATTTGATGTTGCAAAGTTATACTGTGGGCTTATTTATGGACGGGCTGATATTTGGTGATTTAAGGTACATTCACATGGAAAAATCCCTCGCTGAGCTATTCCGAGATATGCCTGAATGCATCTAAACTTACATGTTTCTAAACCTCGGATTTCGCCCGAACCATCCGCCAAAAAGCAATTACATGTATCGCACTCCCCTATATTCCAAATACGCATATCGCCCATGCAAGTAAATGGGTAATTCTGTACATATTGAGTTTTGCCGCTACAAACACAATTTCTCGGATCATTGGCACTACGCATCTTATTAGTATTATTATTATTATTGCCAACCAGCAAAGTGATGTAGTGGTATAAGTCAATTCAACTAATTTTTCCATGCACAGGACCTCCTTACCATCATCCTAAGATACTACAAGTGTATGCTGCATGAAAAGTCTTTCTGTAAACTTGACTACAACTGGGAAAATGAAATAGTCCGGACGAACATCGCCTGTTCTCAGACAGGGGGCACTTGGGTTGTGGTGTAATCTGTGTTCGAGTGCAAGGTTCTATGGATGACACACATTTGATTTGGTTTATGCCACCACAGTAACTAACCCAACTTAACTCAGCAAGTCCTGGCCAGGGGCCCAGCTGGATCAGCCTGGATGCTACCTCAAGCCTCTTCCGGTCGCCGACACACATTGCGCAGCATTTCGTCTTTTTGTTCCCACTGTTTTATTTAGAAGTTGCTTTCCCGCTTTCTAAATCAAATTTGCTCTTAAAGTAGGGAATAACGGGCTAGCCTGTCTGCAGCAACTTCTATCTCAGGTAGCTGGGGGGGAAACGTGATCCCTGTTGAAAGCTTGTCTGCCTTTCTCTCATCCAGGAGACCTATTCCACAATACTAACGCAGACAAGAAGGAAAGCCTGCGATTCTGTGCTTACCTTGCGGGAGGTCAGCTGACCTCCCCATATATTGTCTCAACGTTCGATTTTTCGCAGTTGGTTTAGATACCTTCCTCTTTCTGTTCCCTATAATCAGATGAATGCACCTTTTGCTTAGAACTTCGTAACTATTTTACACTCAGGGGAATCCAAGTCATGGGCAATGAAACAACGAAGGAATACGACCATGTTTTTGATCTCAGCTTTAGATGGAGTATCTGTGTTAAATTGGCCGCCAAGTGGCTCTCAGACGGGAGGCCAATTGAGCTGCACTTGAAAGTACCCTGCTCAGTCAGATATGCGATAGTTCTCATTATGACGGTTGACACTTGGGCTGTCTTCTCTTAATGCCAGGTGACCACCCGGAACCCGTAACATAGATTAGTTAATTCATCCATACACCACGATCCAATCGATTAGGTTCGGCGGACCAAGGTACCTCGAATGAAGTCGCTGATTCTGCACTAAACTTGCCGAATTAAGGCCATAGTGGTGTACGAACTTTTGGCAAGACCAGAAAGATGAATGTACTGTGGGAAAATTACCAGTCAGAAATCACCGGTGTTTGGATCGATCATGTAAGTAAGCAACCAGGATCTCATAAGGCAGAAACCCTGGTACACGATTGGCCCAGAATGGTGCCGACAAATTCAGCCATCTTCCGTACACTGAGAAATGTGATTGACTGTTACAGCAGTGGAGACCGAGCTGCGTCGTGTCAATATATTTTGACTTACCAAGCAGCAAGGAACGAACCGAGAAAGCAATCGTAATCCATATTAACAAGGAAGCACCACAATCGGTTGTACAATATGAATATCAGGTCGTTTGTAAGTACTATACCGGTAGAAAGCCATCACTTCTTCCATCTTCGGAGGGGAGCACGGTAGAACACTGCACACTTCAGAAGCCTTAATGGAAACTCTTCAGCTACGCTCATGGTCTTAAAAATATGCTACCTATAATTTTTTTCAAAATCTTCTCGAACAGTTTCGCCAAAACAGAGGTCAGAAAAATCGGGCGGTAAGTGTCTACCTCAGTCGCGTCACCGCCTTACGGAATTGGCTTCACTACTAGTCATTTCCAGTCGCTCGGCAATGCACCTTCAGCCAAGGATACATCGAACGGATCAGTCATAGCAGGCGAGTTGATGGCTGATAGGTACGTTAGAATTAGCGAATGGAAGCCGTCAAGTCCGCAGACTTCGTGCCTTCAAGACTGGCGAGTAAACTGCGGACATCTGCCACCTCGCAATCCAGGCACTCGAGTTCCGTAGGAACTTCACACATCGAGTTCGGCATATGCGCATGCCTATTTGTAAATACGGAAACGAAGTGCGCTGCCAATGCGGACACACGTTCAGTGCTGGAACTCAGATTCTGTCCATCCGAGCCCTCTGACACTGCTAGGTCACGTAGGGACCTCAGGCGCCGCTTCACGTAAGCCAAACTCCTCTTGGAGACCGGTTTCGCTGAAACTGCGAGCTCCTCTTCGAAATGTCGACGCTTTCGGGCACAGTTAGCGCCATCGCAATGCGTCACTCGTATGGTCCTTAGATACTTATTATTGTACACCCGTCAGTCTAGTAGGATCCTTGTTGAAACACACTGCTGTCTGAGAACCGGTGCAGTTAACAGTGTCCTCACGGGTGGAGCTCAAATGAGACTAATTGGAACATGTCGAGCAGGCTTTCTATAGCTAAATACAGCTAAGTTTCATCGCTTTCTCTGCACCGTTCAGATGTGGTCGCTAATATAGGTTTCCAAATGAACTAGTGTATTTTCTTTGTTACCCCTCTTTAGAGTACATGCCACAACCGTTTTTGTCATTGTTTAAGCTCTTCAGGCAGGACTTATGTAACCAATAGTCGGGTTCGTGTCGTGGTCGGCAGCTAAACTCTGGCCGATTGACTACTGTGACCCTTCGATCGGCGCCTGTCTGGATTCCGCAAACCAGACGGCACTCCATTCCTAATCTATCCATCAAGTGGTTAGCACGATTAATTAGGATGAAACACTTATAGGTTAAAAGGATCGTCCTCCTCATCTCCACTTAACCAGATGCAAATGTCATAAAAACCACTGGAGAAAGTTTTGGATTCCAACAGATGACTCCTTAAGGACTTACTTCCTCAACTATAATCATATTGAGGACCTATGTATCTCAACGCGTTGATCCTTTTACAACTATACTACTATTCTCGGCTTTCACGAGACATGCCTGAACAGACATAATCAGTTACGCAGCGTAGTTTGTAGTTGCCGAATGAAACTGGTGAGTATAAATGAATTGAAGTTTTCTCCTATTCCACTGAGCTTTGCGGTCTTACACTCCGATAGCATCACTCGCATGCACTGTAATCCGTAGCCACCTATTCCAGCTTTCATAGGGGACCGGGCGACCCCCACAGTATCCTTAGACCACGCGCGACAGGTAGTGTTTGCTCGGCAGCAAAGCATCAGTACGGCATCCTGGCGTACTGTTGATGTTTTCCTCACACTCCGGACCACAGCTGTCTGGTGACTTTACCTGAACGATTTCCCACCGAATACGAAAGTAAACGTACCAACGGTATTTCCCTAACATTGGGGTAAAGACCTTGACAATATACTGTGTGAGCAGCCTGTGTTAAACCCGGTTCAGGGAATCTAATCTGCGCTGAAGGCTTAATGCGAAGTACCCAGTTGCGCTTACCTAAGTCTGCATCGTAGTATGGTTCCTTAATGAGGAAGGAGAAGACGCAAATGTCAATCGACCTTGGCCTAAAAGCGAACTGGAATCACCGGATTGTATGCTTACTAGCTTTTGGTACGCTCCTGGATCCAGGGGTACCAATGTCATGTCATGTCACTGGGGTTTCAAGCCCTGATATACCTAAGGAAGACACTTAAGGAAGACACTCTCCCACCCCCACTAACCTTAGATGAATCGTCAAATTCGCTACGCTTTGGCATGTTATTTACAGCTTCTGTTACACTTTTTATATTCTGTTACGGAACCATAACTGAGGTGTTTTTCACCTGTAGCTAGCGTACATAATGAATTAATGAATGACAGGTGATATACCTCTAGGCTTGCGCTGCCATTCATCCTAGGATCGTAAGCCAAAGTAACCCAGTCGGACCAAACTGGACAGGTGTCCGTTGCCAAAACAACGATGGCGGTCGGCATTGCTCATCCAATGATCTCGGCAGACACGAACAATGCGTTGTGAACACCTGTGGTCATAGACAAGTTATCTGTCACAACACCAAACACACTATGGCAGTGTCTGCGGTGTGCTTAATAACAGTGGTCACGCTGCATTGTCATATACTCCGCCCGATACACCGATGCCCCATATCGTCCTCGGGGATCATTACCTACATGTAGGGCACCCTGTTAGATGACGTGGCCATAGATGACATGATAAGTGAATCGATTGGCCACTTTGGTGAATGTTCGATGGTAATGAGAAGTAATATTTTACACTGAGTACGCGAAGTACTCTACTACGCCGAGCGTACGTCCGCAGTTATGATTACAGTTTAACACCGAATCCGCTATACAATAGCATATCACATCTTCCGCCAGTTCAAACTGTTCACACACGTTAGCGGAAATATTTAGTGGATAGTACCCGGATTGTTCACTTATCGTAATTTTGCCACTGGGATTCTTCGTATGATCCCAGTTATAATTCTGGTTCCTATCCTCCTTGGTGTTAATTTTGATTGCTTCCTCCTAAAGTTGATTACTCTTAGCGTCTCTAGAATGTGATCATTAAACATGAAATCTTGTCGGAGTGATCGAATCTGATAGAATTCTATGACCATTTCACCATCGAGTGTTCGGGTCAATAACGGGTGGGTGCTTACCCTGTCAAATTTTTCTTCGCTCTCAAATAAACAAAATTCGCGCATCTATTTCGATTATTACCAGCGTCCGAACATGGGAAAAGCAAACTATCCTTCTTGCCGTCACTAGAAAGATAGGTGTCTATATTTATCAAATGTCCAGCACTTGAACACATCGATAGGCCTCCACTGTCGTTTGCTTCGTTGCGAACTTACAACCAAAGACAGATCGTTCGCTGACATTGTTGTTACGGTCAGATTAACTAATTCCATTACACCACCGAAGACAACTTGGTGTAGTCTGTTGTGACCCTGGTCATCCAATGCTCTCCATGACGAAGTGTCAGCCAGTGCCGAAGGAGGAACTGGCCGTCTCCTTCAGACGCAGTGGCTGAACGATAGGTTTCTTTGTTGCGATCCGCTGCTCATAGAAGTATTCAGTCTATCCTGGTAAAAGTGAAATCAGCCCAAGTTACCAATGAGGTCGTTGCTGCAACAAACCATGTTTAGAAGAGTATATTCGTCCTCACGCAAAGCAGACTCGAGTATAGATCACCTCAACTAGACACACACCAATGTGTCGCCGATTTCCGACACTTCGTTGGGTTTGCGCACTCGGGCATTTGGCCCAAGCATATCGCGCACCCACTCCTCCCACGGGACGATAATCTGCTTCGGAGGAACCAAAATACGTGCTTGTTTGTGCGGATCTTTCGGATACCATATCAATGATTGGGCAGCGTTGCAGTGCGGTGGAAACGTGGCAGCCACCGGAAGTTTGTATGTTTTGTCCGGTTCCATCATCAATATTCCACTGTCTTGAACATCGAAGATTTTACGCACACGACTGCCTAGAGGCATAAACGGATCCACCTTCATGTGTAGATCGTACTGCCAACGCACCTTTTTCAATACCGTAATCTCATCTTTGCAAGCAAGCTTCTTTCCGTATTTGATGGCCACAAGCCAAATGAGAAATTTCTGTTGGCGATTGATCTCTGTCAGCCGTACACCACCAGAATACGGAAGCTCCCACACAACCGAAGGGTGGAAGTAATCTTTCACCTGCAAATTCAGGATCATTTTGCGAACGGGACCTTTTTTGATATTGTACAAACTTTGATTGACGCTGTAAAATGGATACTGACGTCCGTCACTATCATTAATCAGTTTTCGAATGCCACTCTTGAGGGGATGAAATTCCCACAGTGACTTGCCGATCCCGTCGTAATCGTTGGCCAAGTACATGTAATCGCATGCCTGGACAAGTCCGATGGTCCAGTCTCGATCAGATGTACAGGTAGGTATTTCTATCTCAACTTTACAATAAAACGTCTGGGTTTTATAATACAGCATAGAATCCGTCTCCTCCACCTCTGTACTAGATGTGTCATCATAATATGCTCGTATACCTTTGATGCGAAATTTGTCGGTAGTCAATTTGTTCATGTAATGGACAGAACATAGAGTTTGTCTCCCTAATCCTCCGGTTAATGTTGAATCTCGGATCCAGGCAGAAGTAACCAGTCCAGATTGTAGATGGTCATTGGAGAAAGAGCCGCACGATTTTCCGAATCTGTCCAAACATGTGCTACTTGCCCAGTAGCAAAATATTGTGGATACTCGCTGCAAAACTCTTTTGCCCACACGACTTGGACAATCGGCCGGCCGAGGTCCCAGCTCGTGGGCTTTGAATTTGTCATTAATCGATGTTTATATCAGAGGCGAGGGAAGTGCTGGAGTTGCGCGCACGTGACTTGTCTGATGCAACGTATATTTTGCCCAAGGTTATTCAAGATGCTCGGCGTGTGTAATGATCACCAACCATGGATAAGTGCCGACTGCTTTTGAACAACCCGCTCAGTTATAAGGAGTAATTGGAACCGTTCTTCATGTTCTGAGTTCATACCTTCAGCGCTTTGCAATGAGGCCAGCTCACAACGCAATGGAAACAACCCTCAATATACTCAACGAAATTTCGGTGTTTCCGGAGTAATCGAGAAGGCCAACAGAAAGGATTACCCCCGTCCAACGGAAGCCAAGCAAACATTAATATGCATAAGAATGGTCCGAATTCCAACCGATCGGTGCTCGTAAGATTTGTTAGCATCTTCGTTCACCACTCACCTGCACGACTAATTGTATGTCGTGGTTTCGCTGTCAACTATACGAGTCACAGTCCTGCACCTCTAAATCAGAAGACAAGCTGCAACAAGACCCGAAAAATACAGCCGTTGTTCACAGTCATTGTAACTCTATGGTACAATGGTAATCGTTTAGAGGCAGGTTTCATGGTCCCAGAAAGTACTAGAGGCCGGTAAACAGTTACGCTGCTTGACTCCAAGCCAAGGGTGTTCTCCTTGACTGAGTCCAACAGGATGTCACTATCACTGTTTAATTCCTGGCCACGGAGCTCCTAGCCGATTTGATTCGAACTTCTGCGGATACTACGGGCATGAAAACAAATGATTTCTATGAAACGGCTCCCTGAACAATGTACTATTGCAAAACCATGGTATGGTGTGGGCATTGGAAAGTAGCACAATCTAAATGTGCATCCCCCACGTAGATCCAGAAGAAGGCTTCTCGTTCGTTCGTACTTTTGAAACCTCTCAGCATTCCCGGGATGCAGTGGCAAGATCGAAAGCATTATCGAGTTCTTGTTTACAGGGCCCAAACGGCCGTGTCAAGAAGGCTGCCGACAGATGGCCTAAATGGCCGCCTACTTATTACATGCCCGAAAATGAACCGACTATTGGTTGGTTCGGCAGCGGTGTACACTACCGGAAGCGTTCCAAGGTTGCGGATCGCGGAACGGCTTCCTTCTCAACGTAACTGTGAATAAGTCTCAGCTGTACGCAGGCGAGATGAATAAACCATCGCGGACAATCAGCGGCAGCGTCCGTTGGCGTGGGGGTTCTGGGCTGGTCACATGGTTCCTCATTTAACACCGCAGGAGCTCGTATAACGTTATGTCAAGGTTAATGTGACCGGTTATAGGGTCATTGACCACTCACTTCTACGATCAGAAATGAGTACCCAACGGAGGGTGGATGAACTGCTGGTTACCGAGTTCTGCGAAGGGGTTTGAGCCACCTGGCTGTTAACGGCCTTCGTGCTTTTCGAAGAGTTCAGCGGTGCTGGAAATTTCTCTTGGACTCCGTACTGATTCACTTGGGCTACATGGGCGTTCGGCGTAGTTTGTTCCTACTCAAAAGCCGTGTTATCATCATCGTGGTACTCTGCTCCCAACGGTATACGATATACGTCAACCGCCCTGCTCTCTTGCTAGTCAGTTCTTTATAACCAAATGTTGGGTCCCTAAGTTAACACTTTTCCTCGGCCAGGGTAACCGGGAAGCTACATGCCTACATAACTTATGGACCAGTGCTTCAACAACTTTTTGTTCTCTCTCTGCATTTTCCCAATGTTACACTCGGCCGAGTTGCTTGTGGCCGAACCCGCTATTTCTCGTGCTACCGCACGACCCTCCGTTCAACCCTCTTATACGGTTGTGAAATCTGGCCGATCAGGTCGACAGATATAAAGAAGCTAACTACGTTCAATCATCGCTGCCTTCGCAGCTTAGCTCATGCCTGGTGGGAACACCGCGTGAGCAATGAATGTGTCCGGCGTCGCGTATTTGGTGAACCGCTCAGCACCATTATATCACGCACCATGCACTGATGGCTGGGCCACATGTTGCACATGCCAGCCCACCGACTCCCGCGTCGTGTGTTTGCTCGCCAAGGGTGTGCATGGAAGAAGATGTGGAAGGTCAAGCGATGACTTAGTCAAGAGAAAATAAGGCCCTTACTTCGAAGTTGGTTTCGGTTGGTGCATTCCGACTGCCAAGCTCGGGTCCCAAGGACGATGAACACGTTTGGCTGGACACATTTGTTGATAGGGCGAAAAGCTGGTTCAAATGACTTTCGTGTTGTGAGTTTCTTTGTCCATCCACCTCCCTTCTACATTCCCCTTCCAAGCACGATCTTATAGCTAATACGTGATATAATATGCTGTTGTGTCGCCGCTGATGCCTTCACCCCACGACCACAAGAAGAAGTCCAAGACGAGCCAGAAGGAGACTTGTACACATGAAACCACAGTTGTTTATATAGTTTTGAGGGCAAAATGAAGGGAAGCTACTAAAGTACACTTGAGTCAACCAACAGAAGGAAAAACGTCAAATGCAACGGCGAATAAGCAACCGTGTACTCAAGAGTGAATCGCGTAGGTCCTTAAAAATAGCATCATTGGACTCCAAGCGTAAAGCGAACGACCATTTACAGTGACGGGCACTGGCCAATCAGATTGACGAAATGAAACGTTTAAACAAAAGTCCCGAAACGACCGAGAATAAGGAATGCAGACCCAAAAGTTGAAAACTAGTACAATAATTGTGTGACAACTAAATATTCCTTGAACATAACCAAGTAGAACAGTGGTGAGAAGAAAAAACCAATAGAATATGTTCTTGCAAATAGCGCTGCTGAAAAGGACATGACGATGAGCGTCCATTGCCAATGACGTGGATGTACCAATCTGGCGAACCCAGTAGAGCGTTTAAACAACAGTCAAGAAATAGAAAATAGGAAGAGTACAGAATAGCTATCAAGCTCGTTCACAATAAATGAATGTATAATATGAATGTATAATATGTGAATGTCTAATATGTGATATAATATGCGACATCAGCTTTTCCTCTCCAGCACGAGCTTTCATCATCCTGGACGCCCCTAGGTCACTTGACGCCCTTCATCATCAACCCAGCGCTGGTCATAGATTGACCACATAGCCATAAGTCACAGGTGGCGCGGCAGCGTACGCGACTGCCCATCATTTTGGTCAACATGAGTCGATACTGAACCTGCACTGGTATGTGCAACCGGTTGCATGCGTTTCGGTAGTTCACCTAGGTCCAACCACACCCGACTGAACACATATAAGCTGGAGGACCCAATGGTGAAAAGAAAGTATCAACAATGGTTTCGTGAAAACCTCGATCTCTCTCCCACTCTGGATGTTGACCAACACTGATCAAGTCTCCAACAATCCTTGCTGTCGGTTGGTTTGTCCAGCTGTGGCCTCGCTCGCTCCATTCCCAAAAGCTGAATCTCGGGAAAATCCTCGGAATTGCTGGATCGCCGACGGGCGGTGCCTGCTAGCGCAGAGCACAACGAACACCACCGGTCTATTACGTAACAGCTGAAGACAAGCCTTCGCTCTGGTCACGAATCCTGGTGGTCAAAACAAGCTAATGAGATGGAAGCAGCTGCATCAGCTGGCAACTTCTGCCATCTGTTTTGCATCACCAGAGCCAGCGGTTGCGATTCCCACGCTGTCAAGCCAGACGATTTGCGAATCAGACGGAACGAAGATAATCAACCATCACAGGCGATTGGGTCGCTGGGCAGAGCGATTCGCTCCTCAATTCAACTGCCCAACACAGCCCCTGTGACACCTCCCATCCCAACGGATGATGCTTGGTCTGTCTCCACAGGCCCCCCAACTGAAGCAGAGATCCGAGATGCAATCCAATCTTTGAAACGATACAAAACTCCTGATCCTGATGGCCTACCACCGGCTCTATTCAAAGGTGGCGGGAATGTACTTATCAGTGAAATACTATCGCTGTTAACGAAAGGTTGGACTTAGGAAAAGGTTCTGCACTCATGGGTGAATAGGTCATTGTTCCGATTCACAAGAATGGCTCCCGCGCAGATTGCTGCAACTATCTTGGAATCTCCTTAATCTTTGTCGCATCCAAAATCGTCTTGTCTGTCCTACTACTCAGGATTTCAACGACTAGAGAGGAGTTTTCCCGTTAAGAACAAGCCAGATTTCGTCCAGGCCGCGGCTGCATCTACCAAATCATCACGCTTCACCAACTCCTCGATCTCCGTCATATCTACCGGCGGCCAACAATCGTAGTGTTCATGGACATCCGAGCGGCATTTGATTCAATGGATAGATCTGTGTTGTGGAATTGTTTACTGAAACAGGTGTGCCCGACAAGTTTGTAACCATCCTGAAAGAACTTTACAACCATACGTCGGGCAAAATCAGGACTTACGGCACGCTCTCTTCTTCATTGGCTTGACCAGCGATGTTCTCCAAGGTTGTCCTATTTCACGGTTCCTCTTTAATTTTGCCATCGGATGTCGTCCAAAGAACACTGAAAGGTGTCCAGAACTGCGGCGTTGAGCTCCTCCCTGGAGACAGTGTCACGGAATTGGACTAGGCCGATGATATCGCCTTGCTGGGGGACGACCCACAAACCGTCCAAAACACCTTAGACCGCTTAGCGATGGAGGCGTCTAAGTAAGGCTTATACTTCACTCCGGGAAAATGTGAAACGCTGCTCCAGGATTGGCAGGTACCTGGACCCGCGCTCGCCATTGTTGGACATGTTCTGGAGAACGTCCCTTGCTTTACTTATCTATGGATTTGCATCGCGGCTAGTGACGGTGTTGAAGAGGAAGTCGCACAACGGATTACATTCATCAAACTGAGACACCTATAGCTTCGTCGTAATGTCTGTCTCAACCTCAAGGGCATGGTGTACAATGCTTCCGTCCGTGTAGTGTTCTTGTACGGCTGTGAGAATTGGGCTATTCGCTCGGAAAACATGAAGCTGTTGTCAGTCTTCGACAATCCCTGTCTACGAAGGATTGCTTGGGTGTGATGGC